ACCTGACCATGAAAACAGACTCACTCTCTTCAGCAAATATTTTCATACTTCTTTTTTTTTTAGTAAAATTTTTTACGGCGCTCGCAATTGCATAAGGTCATACTTCAGCGTGATAAAAGAAAGGATTTATTAGCAGGTGTAACTAAATACAACCATAGCACATATTTACTACACCAACTACACATACATGGTTTCAATCCATCACAGAAGTCAGTTTTTCCACCAAAACATTTCATTGGCACAACCCACCAAGTTCCTGAACAGACACTCTAAGCTCTTATGATTTTGAGTACAAACAGATCTTTCATCATGGGGAAAATTTACAGAAATAGAAAGAGAAAAGAAACAACGATATTGACAATCAAACATGTGTAGTATAAATACAGTAGAGAAATTTATTTCATCTTTCTCAAGAACCGCAGAAGTAAAAAGAGCGAGAACTAGAAAAAAAAAAGTGAAATGTGTCTTTTATTGTCCAGGACACACAGAGCCCAAAGACATGAAACGTGTGGACAACCACATAAACACTACATACAGGAGAAACTATACAATACAGGCAGACAGAGATACAATACAGGCAGACAGAGATACAATACAAACAGACAGAGATACAATACAGGCAGACAGAGATACAATACAGGCAGACAGAGATACAATACAAGCTGACAGAGATACAATACAAGCTGACAGAGATACAATACAAGCAGACAGAGATACAATACAAGAAGACAGAGGAACTGAGCAGGACGGCGCAGTGATGATAGATACCAGTACCAGACGTCAAATATGATGTAACTGAGAAGAAGAAAAAGTCTTCTATCAGAGAGACTCCCACTCATGGTGGTAAACTACAAAACTAGACTCTTTTTATAGTTACAGTAGAGGGTTATACGGCGCTCACAACTGCATAAGGTCATATGAGTGCCAAAACTAGACTCTGCCCTCACAATCTGTCAATGCTGGTGTAATTATAAGTAGGCACTGTACAGTCACAACGGACCAGGTTGTTTGAGCAATAGGTTTGTCAAAATGAGAGAAGCCAGCACGCCACGCACATCCACCAGTGAGAAATGAAGCTTTTAAATCACGTTCATGATAGATCTATGGCAAACTATTCTCTGCCAGATTTGGTCTCATTGGCCATAGCGGAAGCCATAAATTATCTTTCAATTGTTTCGTTTATTTTTCTATTTTTCTAAAAATAATAATCTCTACAGACGCATTGATCATTTTCAGACATTGACTGACAATCTACCAATATTATTACCATTGCCCGATATCATTATTATCATTATCATTATTACTTATTAAATTACTATTATCATTATTATATCCTGGTACAAAAGTTGATTAAACTAATGAGAGCCCCACAATGCTGGAGGACACGCCCCCGTGACCACCCACCTCACATTATTTCCGCGACATTCCTTGATGTCGTGCAAGAGTCAGAGCAAGAAAGTTGAGTCTTAAACCCAGACACACCCCCCCCCCCCCCCCCCCCCCACACACACACCCACCTTCCTTCCCGGGTCTGTTTAATGCTACACCCTGGAAAATGTCGACTTTTTCATTCATGTTCGTGGCAAAGCAGACTTGAGGACATATTTTTTTCCTGTATCTTAACACCACTCACACTACGTAATGTAATAATATATAAATCCATACATATCCACACATATATAAACAAAGCCATACACACACATTATATCTTGATCCACACACCTACACACATATATATATATAAGTATTATGTATACAAAACAAGACACCATATTACATACTTTAGACTAGTAAAGAGTTTCCCATATTGGTGAGCACACTTTTTCTTTTTAATATATCTAGATCTACTGCCCTATTCCAAATACAAATATTAGAAAATTATGTAAACATAATTATTGTCATAAACACACAAAGGTAGACGAAATTCAGAACAGCTACAAAATGACGACATTACGTTAAAATATTAGAAGAATTATCAGGACTGGCCTTTCATGAGTGCGAAAAACTGAGATGAAATACATGTATGTGGTACTGTAGCCCCCTATACATACAAGAAGACTTCTTAGAACTGACCTTACATGGGTTATACAAGTACAAAACTGGCAGGAGATATATATATATATATATATATATATATATATATATATATATATATATATATATGGTACCGCGGCACTCTATACATGATAAGCAGAGTTCTTAGAACTGGCCTTACAGGGGTATACTATGTATATATACGGGTACAGAACTGACATGAAATGACAGGTGTGGTACCGTGGCAGCCTTTGTATGATATAAGCAGTTTTAGAGGAACTGACCTTACATGGGTACGGTATACTATACGTGAACAAAACTGACATGACATATATGGTACCGTAGCACCCCATACTTATGACGGCAGGCTTCTTAGAACTGGTCTTACTTGGGTATACTATACGTGTACAAAACTGACATGAAATATATGGTACCGTAGCACCCCATACTTACGACAGCAGACTTCTTAGAACTGACCTTACTTGGGTAACATGTGAGGCAGCATGGTGAAGTCAGGCGCTCGTCAAAATAATAAAAACAAAGAAACAGGCCTTTTCCCACCAGTTTGGCAATTTTTTAATGAAATGTTTTTTGGCTCAACACCTTTTATGTTCATATAATAACACATTTCCGTCTGTATTTGACTGAAAAGCGTCGATCAAAGGCACAAAATATGCAATTTTTCAGTTTTCTTGGACCCTCAAGCTATTGAAGTTACCTAACTTTGTCGGCCATTTTCTCACTAATTTAACCACTGATATAAGGAAACCCCACCTTCTTCAATCGAAAATATCTCAACCTCTATTCAAGATAGATGGGCATTTAAAAAAATAAAAAACAAGGCAAATGAATAAGCTTTCAGACAATAGCAACAATTCCACATGCCCAAAAACTGAGGAGCGCCTGACTCCACCGCGTAGTGACACATGGGGTACCGTGGCCCCCTATACATACAAGCAGAGTTCTTAGAACTGGCCTTAACGGGTACATATGCACAAAACTGGCATGAAATATATGTACTGCTGTAGGTACCATCTGTACTGTAAGAAAAGTTTTCAGGACTGGCCTTACATGACAGGCGTGCTCAGAACTCACACGCAATGTCCGGTACTGTGGTGGTGTGAGGTGAGCGGGGAATGTGGCAATACATACAACCACATTTGACAAGTCAGCTGTTCACTTGTCCTAAGATCAAAATTTTGACAATTTTTTAAATTGCAGTCTCTTCATATATGGACATTGGTTGCACATGCTAAAGAAATATTTTGTCAACATTCAAAATCTTAGTGTTGAAAAAAAAAATCAATTTAAAAAAAGAAAACATAGGAAGAAACATTTTGTACAAGAATGAAGCAGTCTTGCTTCTCCTGAAAAGTTAGACTTTCTGGTTTGGGAAATTTGAATATCTTGCTGAGAATTTGCACGTGTAACATTATGTATGCTTAGGAAAAATTCATTTCCCATAAAAATGGCATATTCTTACAGTCTACAAGACATTGTGGTAACAAGGTACAGTTGAGATTAACATAAACTGCTCAAACATTCTACTTTAACACAAAAGCACCCAATTTTTTAACGACATAAATCACAAATGTGACCCCTAAAGTCTAACGTGTCACAGGTCCATTCCATGCCATGGCCCCCCAAATACCTGACTAGGATCGATCCTAAAGTGGAACCATTTGACTCAAAATTATTTTCTAGGCAGACAAACATTTGTTCCATTCACTTAGAGGACACCGAAAGCTGAGACTCCATTTTGGAATTCACAATGAGCTCTTACAACATTTCTCATAATTCTAGGGGTAAAAACTACATACCAAAGCTGTGGGGCCTCATATTTCAAGACTAGAATCTTCATTCTCCTCACTTCCAGGCTTGGTCACTCAGTGGGTACATGGACATTTAGTATTTAGTAAGACATTATTGATACGTTTTCTCACAGCTTAAATTTATATTTGCAAAGTTAGATATTATATATATATATAGCGGTAACCATATTTCAACTGACCAGATAATTTGTGTCGTGTGGTAAAAAGTACAAGTAAGCCTACAGGATCAAACTAAACAACACAAACAGTTCTCAAATATTACTTTTCTTCTGTGTAAAGACAGTACAGTGGAAGAAGACAGGTAAAGTCATGTCGTCTGCCGTCCTGGATAAAGTAAAGCTATCCCAGCAGCCCATGGGCTCCAGCCCTCTGACACAAAGACACAAACCGTATATATAAATATTAATTATATATATATATATGGATATAATGGATAGTTGGCAAGCTGTTCAACTGCTCTAAGTAAGCCCAGAATTTTAAAAATTTTCAAGAGAGAAAAAAGTTTTCATTTTTTTAAAAATGGAAC